GGGGGGAGGGGGGGTGCGAAAAAGGAACAGAAATAAATTTAAAATATAGAAGAAAAAGGTTATACTGTGTTAATGTACACCAGGAGGAGGGTTTCTGTTTACTGGGGTTGGCGTCTCTTGGTGCCGCAGTAGGTGATTGGTGCTTTGGTAGAGTTAGTTTGTCTAACTGTCTCTGTCCGTCTGTCTCTCAGTCTCTGTCTGTCTTTGTATCTCTGTTTGTCTGTCCGTCAGTCTGTCTCTGTCTGCCAGTCTATTTTTACAATGTCTGTCACTGTCTGTCTGTGTCTGTGTTTGTCTCGTTCTGTCTCAGCCTCTCTGTCTCAGCCTCTCTGTCTTTCCACTGTGTCGGTCACTGGCTGTCTGTTCTGTCTCTCTATCTGTCTGTCTGTTTTTTGTTGAAAGGAGTTGTTGAGTTAGGTTGTTTTTATTGAGAGGGTTGTCGCTGAGGTTGGGTATAGAGAATTGTAAGTATTTCTGTGCGGCTTTGTCTGGGGGGGGGGTGTTGCTGTGTTTGGAGGTTGGTTGGTATTTTATCTCATTGTATTTATTTATTATTTTATTTTATTTTTTATTTTTTTATTTATTAATTAATTTATTTATTTTTGTTTTGTTAATTATTTATTTATTTTTTGTTGGGGGGCGGGGGGTGGGGGGGCGGTGGTCGGGTATGTTGATTTATAGGATAGGATTCCTTAGGGAGGATTTGTAGACAGACAGACAAACAGAGACAGTTAGAAAAACAGACAGACGGACGGACACAGACAGACAGACATTAAACAGACAGACACACAGAAACAGACAAACCGTCAGACAAACGGACAAACACACCGAAAGACACAGACAGAAAAAGACATACAGACAGACAAACAGACGAGCGGAGACAGACAGACAGTCAGAGGCAGACAGGGAGAGACAGACAATCTTGGCTTATAACTCAAGATAAAGAAGGAATCGCCGTAAATAAGAAGGTCCGGCGCTCTTCTCAGGCTCGACCGCTGTCACCCAAACTGAAACAGACAACTGTCCCTTGACTCACCACGTAACCATAACGTATCTGATTGAGTTGTTAAGCAACAGGAACACTTTGGTAAAAGAAGAAATAATAACAACTTGTAGGAATCTCTGTCTGTCTGTTGGTCTCTGTGTCCGTTTCTTTCTGTCTGCCTGTCTGTCTGTTTGTCGCAGACACAAGCAGACAACTGATAGACAGACAGACGGAGAAATAGAGGGACAGACAGAAACAGAGACGGCGACATAGACTAACATATAGACGAAAGAGACAGACAGACAGAAAAACAGAGGCAGAAAATCAGAAAGACAGACAGATCGATATTGTGAGACAGACTGGCAGAAACAGTCAGACACAGAGACACAGATAGATGGGGGATGGGGGGATTCCACACCCTTCCCAGTCGGTGGGTCCTGATACCTTCCGTTGCCAACTACCGGATGGTGCCATTCTCCACCTCCCAGGATGGGTGTGGATGGGGGATGGGGGGATTCCACACCCTTCCCAGTAGGTGGGTCCTGATACCTTACCGTACACCACCCTACACCACCATACCCCATACTACACCACCCACTACACCCTCACTACACCACCATACCCCACACTACACCACCCACTACACCACCCTACACACACACTTCCCAGTCGGTGGGTCCTGAATGCAACCCCCTCCGTTGCCAGCTACCGGATGGTGCTATTCTCCACCTCCAGGTTGGGTGTGGATGGGATGGGGGATCCCACACCCTTCAGTAGGTGGGTCCTGATACCCTTACCATACACCACCCTACACCACATACCCCCCATACTACACCACCCACTACACACTCACTACACCGCCATGCCCACACTGCACCACCCACACCACCCACCTACACACACCCTTCCCAGTAGGTGGGTCCTGATACCGTACACCACCCTACACCACCACCCCACACACACCACCTACACCATACCCCATACTATACCCCTCACTTCACCACCATACCCCACACTACACCACCCACTACACCACCCTACACACACCCTTCCCAGTCGGTGGGTCCTGATACCTTACCGTACACCACCTACACCACCATACCCCATACTACACCACCCACTACACCCCCACTACACCACCATACCCCACACTACACCCCCACTACACACACTTCCCAGTCGGTGGGTCTGATACTGCCACCTACACCACCACCCCACACTACACACCCTACACACACACCTCCCAGTCGGTGGGTCCTGATACCTTACCGTACACCACCCTACACCACCCACTACACCCCCACTACACCACCATACCCCACACTACACCACCCACTACACCACCCTACACACACACTTCCCAATCGGTGGGTCCTGATACCTTACCGTACACCACCCTACACCACACTACACCACCCTACACACACTTCCCAGTCGGTGGGTCCTGATACCTTACCGTACACCACCCTACACCACCATACCCCATACTACACCACCCACTACACCCTCACTACACCACCATACCCCACACTACACCACCCACTACACCACCCTACACACACACTTCCCAGTCGGTGGGTCCTGATACCTTACCGTACACCACCCTACACCACCATACACCACCCTACACCACCATACCCCATACTACACCACCCACTACACCCTCACTACACCACCATACCCCACACTACACCACCCACTACACCACCCTACACACACACTTCCCAGTCGGTGGGTCCTGATACCTTACCGTACACCACCCTACACCACCATACCCCATACTACACCACCATACCCCATACTACACCCTGGGAAGGATGTGGATTCCCTCTCCTCATCCCCCACTCCCCATCATCCCTCTCACCCCACCCACCCCTTCATCCTCTCACCCTTCCCAGTCGGTGGTTCTTGGTACCTCCCAGGATGGGTGAGAGGATGATGGGTGTGGGTGGGTGGTTATAGTCGGGATGTCCTACACCCCCAATACACCACCCTACACCACCCTACCCAACACTACCCTATTTTATAACGTATTATTTGTGCTGTCTCAATTCTGATGTTGTTGACAAATGACCAGGAATTACAGTAATTATAAATGTTCTAATTATTATTCTCAATTATATTAATCATTTAAGTTAAAAAAAAACACCAAAAGAATCGAACGACCCACCGCAACGCAACGAACCCAACGACCCACCGCAACGCAACGAACCCAACGACCCACCGCAACGCAACGAACCCAACGAAACGAACCCAACGACCCAACGCAACGCAACGAACCCAACGACCCACCGCAACGCAACGAACCCAACGACCCACCGCAACGCAACGGGCAACGCAACGCAACGAACCCCGGCGACCCCACCGCAACGCAACGAACCCAACGACCCAGCACCAACGCTTAGACAACGACCCAACGCAACGCAACGAACCCAACGACCCAACGCAACAGACAACGACCCAACACCAACACCAACCCAGACAACGACCCAACACAACGAACCCAACGACCCAACGCCAAAAGACAACGTTGCCGCAGCACCAGCAGACGGCGACCCAACGCAACGAACCCAACGACCCAACGCAACGAACCCAACGACCCACCGCAACGAACCCAACGACCCAACGCAACGAACCCAACGACCCAACGCAACGACCCACTACACTTTTTTTTCGTTTTTTTATTTTTTTATTTTTATTTTTTTTATTTATTTATTTTTTTTTATTTTTTTTTATTTTTTATTTTTTATTTTTTTTATATATATTTTTTATTTTTTTAGCACACCACCCACTACACCCACCCCTTCATCCTCTCACCCTTCCCAGTCAGTGGTTCTTGGTACCTTCTGTTGTTGGCTGACGGATGGTACCATTCCCCACCTCCCAGGATGGGTGAGAGGATGATGGGTGGGGGTTATAGACGGGATGTCCTACCCTACCTAACCTACACCTACCCGAGAGTTTAGTTAATAAGTGATGAACTGGCTTGGCCTTGCCTCGATCTAGGACTGGAGGAGCTAGATAGAGGTACTTACTTCGTCGTGTCACAGGCAGGGGAATTACTATCGACTTTTTGGAAGGTCTATTTATGTTACATTAGCTGTTTTTCCTGTTTTTCTTTAATAATTCATATATTTACGCAGTCAACCTCCAAAAGTAGACGTTTATTAACATAGAGATATAATGGGGCACTCCGTACAACATTCAAGCTATGTGGGCGTGTATGACTTGTCTTCTTGTGTACATGACTCTCGGGTGTGTGTGTGCGTGTATGACTGTCTTGTGCATATGACTGCCATGTATGTGTGTGTATGACTATCTTGTGTATATGTCTGTTGGATTCTCAAGTCTTTGTCCACTAAATTCCCTCACCTAAACCTTCTCCATTACCACACCCCTCATCCCCCACCCTCCACCCTCACCCCGCCAACCCCCATCCCCCACCCTCACTCCCCCACCCTTACCCCCAAATGGTGAATTCATCTACTGTAAGTCACTCTTTTAAATTGGGGCATTAAAAAAACAAAAAAGCGTCAAAACAACAGAGACTCGACCGGCTCACTACCTACCATGTTGATTGCCCGCACAAGATGGACGAACAGACAGAATCTCATAAAAATAAAGTTCTTTTTTTTCGCCCCCCAGGCTCCGTTGTGGGTCGTTTGACCTGTGCCCGGGTTGGCTAATTCCCGTAAAAAAACCACACACAAGAGAGAGATAGAGGAGAACACAATATCAACTTAGTAAATCATCCTTCCATTTCATTTCCAGGAACAACTTCAGTTCTCCACGAGGTTCACATTACCCGTGGACAGCCATCGTTATTGGAACATGGGGAAATTTCGTCCGGCAACTATTTTTGAAACCAAAAGAAAGAAAATTGATTTGGATGGACATAAAATGTATAAATCTGCAAAGGAATAATATTTGTTATACGATATACTCCATACAGAACAGCACATGCAGAATTGTATTGTTCTTTTTAAAAGCGGTCCATGTTTGTGTACGAAAAATGCCGCCAGCCTCTACAGCGCCGTTTATATCCTCCAAATTCGCCTAACCATCATAAAAGGTAAGCCTTTAAGATAACTAATACAACTAATTTATGTGTAGAAATGTATTGAAATCAAATTGAACTAAAAAAAAGTCGTAAATGGTCTATTTGAAGAGTGGTGAGAACAGCTTCCTCTGGGATGGTCAATGACGTCCTTTATCTTTTACTTTTTTTTACTTTTATCCTCTTCGCCACTGATCGGCTTGTTAGCCGCTTGGGCGATCGGTCACGACTCTTTTCCTTTATATTCTTCACCAAAAGGTCGGCTCGCTAGCCGCCCGGGCGATCGGTCACGTCTCTGTCACGCACTGTTGGCAAATACTGGGCATGCACCGGCTCCTGAATGTACCTGAACCCGCTCCAGTGTTGGTCAAGTCTTCTCTTGAAAGAGCTCACACTCGGTGCCGTCACAACACTTTCTGGTAGATTGTTCCAAGAGTTTACAACCCTCACTCCGAAAAAGTTTGCCCTCACGGTTTTCCGGACTTGCAGCTTCTTCAATCTTGAGCTGTGACCCCTTGTGGGGCGAGCGTCCGCCAGCTCCAAGTAAGGACACTCAACTGAGTAGTGCCCCCTGAGATGCTTATAAACCTCAACTAGGTCCCCCCTTGCCCGTCTGTAGTATAAGCTAGGCAAGTTCAGGCGCTCCAATCTCGCAGGGTAGCTGAGATGCCGAAGTGCAGGCACCAGCTTGGTGGCCCTCCTTTGAACATTTTCAACCAACTGACAGTCCCTAGCATATCTCGGGGACCAGATGGGGTGACAGTACTCCAGATGGGGAAGCACTTCACTCCTGAAGATCGTCACGAGGGACGGACCGTCTAGATATCTGAACGACCTTCTTATAAGACCCAATAATTTATTTGCCTGATTTACCTTCTTCTCACAATGGCCCGAGAACTTCAGCTCATTGTCAACATACACACCTAGGTCCTTCTCACACAGTCTCAACTAGTACATTTTCTTCATCCCGTTGGGACATATGGTACGCCTCCTTACCGTTGGTACGCCCCAGGTGCATCCTCTTACACTTCGTGACATTGAATCTCAGCAGCCATTCCTTCGACCATTCCTGGAGCCCACAGAGGTCCTTCTGCAGCTCTTCACAGTCCGCTTGGTTCTTAATTTCCCGAAATAACTTGGCGTCATCGGCAAACATTTGTATGGAGGAGTGTACAACGTCAGGCATATCATTTATGAAACAAACAAACAACAGCGGGCCCAATACACTACCCTGCGGTACCCCACTTGTTACAGGTACAGATGACGATTTCGTGCCATTAATCACCACACATTGCTTGCGGTCATGTAGAAAGTCTTCTATCCACGCTAGGACATTTCCCCGAATTCCGTACCCTTCCAGTTTGATTTTCAGCCTTTCGTGGGGTACACTGTCGAAAGCCTTGGCAAAATCTAGGTAAATATTGTCGATATTATCAGAATTAATATCGACCCAATTTTCGTAATGAGGGCAATTAATAACAGTCCAGCACTACCAGAATAATTATTTCCTTAGTATAATTACTTATTAGCCGAGATTTCATATTTTAATAAGTCCAAATATGCCAGGTAACTAGTGCTAGGTACTTCCCAGGCATGTTTCATTTGTGCATCAGTTTAACCACAATTTGCTACTAATAAGATAAATTCAGTGACCTAAATTCATGTTTTATTTTTATATTCCCTTAGTGACTCGATGTATTACAAAAAAGAACTACTTTACGACTTGTTTGGGCCAACAGTTGGAGTGGTGATATTAATTAACTTTGCCATTCACACTGGTAGAATCAAATGTAGATATATTGGCTTTGTATGTCCATGATTTCAACAATAATGAATAAGTTCTTCTAAAGTAAATGGAATTGATGATATTATTATCTTTTGGCCATCCAGCGAATTTAATGATTTTAAGTTGACCGATTTTTACCAGTTAAGTTAGGTTATGTTAGATAAGTTAAGTTGGGTTAGGTTAGGTTTGGTGACATTGAAATTATGTTTTTTCAAATGCCAAGTAGAGGTGGATGACCTAAACATTCATTTTACCAAATTGATTATGAGTAGATTAAACACATTATTTGTGTTTTTTTACAAATTCAAACCCCGTAAAGTTCTAATGACAATCACTTCATGATTGATGTTTCACCCTATACACTAAAGCTACTTTATATAAGAGGAAAAAATTAGCACCAAATTGTATTGTTTAATACCAAAAGAAGTCATTGATGATAATATTTAATAACAATATTTGAGGTACAGTATTACGACCTGGTCGTCGGGACGGAACACCGTCGTAAGTCGAGGAGAGACCGTAATACATTTTCATCTTTAAACTCCTTGTATCTTACCTAACTCACCTTGATGCTCCACTCAATTATAGCTAGATGCAATAATTGTAGAAAGTAATCACAGGTATGACTACCTTTACCGTTAATTGTTTTTATATTACAATTCTTGGATATTCAAAGATAATGAAATTATGAATATTCAATAAATGTGATATACGTACAACAGAAATATGTCAGACTTGACTAATTAACTGTGACCATAAATTAACCTAAGTGAATTTGTCCTTAATCCAACCTTTAAAATATGAAAGACAGTATACTTTATTTTATGATAGTTAAGTCAGTTTCCAGTTAGGTTAAGTTAGGTAGGTTAGGTTAACATTTTTATATAGATCATTAAAATTTTAAAGGGCTTATAATTTTTGTTCTATGAATTTCTCCAAAAAAAGGGATCAAAGTCTTGGAATCACCATAACAATATACACTACAGTACATGAGAAAAAACAATAATTTTTTAGTGTGTGTTGCATATCAAACCAAAAGATCTGAGTTTCCTTTGGAATTTTTTATTTTTATTTTTTTTAACAGACAAAATTACCTCTTTCCTATATCTCTTTACTGAAGCAGAAATAATAATAATAATAATAATAATAATAATAATAATAATAATAATAATAATAATAATTTTATTGAGTGAAAGAAGAAGGGAGGCTGAGTGGAGGAAGAACGGGGAGGGAGTGGAGGAGAAAGGGGAAGGAGGGAAAGGGAAGGAAGAGGGAAAAGGAGAAAGTGGATGGGATAGAGGGTAGGGGAAAGGGGTGGGAAAGAAGGGAGGGAGAAAGGGAGGGGCAGGGAGAGGAGGGAGAAGGAGAAAGGGGATGGATAGGGGGATGGCAGAGGGAAGGGAGAAGAGGGAGAAGGAGAAAGGGGATGGATAGGGGGATGGCAGAGGGAAGGGAGAAGAGGGAGAAGGAGAGAGGGAGGGGAGAGGAAGGGGTGGGAGAGAAGGGAGAGGGAATAAAGGGAGGGGGAGGGAGAAGGAGAAATGGAAAAGGAAAGAGAGGAGGGAGAGAGGGAAGGGAGAGGGAAAGAGGGAAGAGAGAGGGGGAGAGGGGGAAGGTAAGGTAAAGGAGAGGAAGGGTGGGGTTATGAGGAGACATTATCCAATTTTTTGGCAAAGTTAAATTAAACTGTCCACCCGATAATGAGGTATTTCGTCGAAAGTCTTTGACCTAGAGCCGTGACCTAGAGCCGTGACAAAGAGCCGTGACCTAGAGCCTTGCCTTGAACTGTGACCTTGAGCCGTGACCTAGAGTTTTGATCTAGAACTTTGACCTTGAACCGTGACAGAGTCGTGACCTGGAGCTGTGACCTAGAGCCGTGACCTAGAACCTTGCCTTGAACCGTGACCTAGAGCCGTGACCTAGAGCCGTGACCTAGAGTTTTGATCTAGAACTTTGACCTTGAACTGTGACAGAGTCGTGACCTTGAACTGTGACCTAGATCCGTGACCTAAACCCGTGACCTAGAGCCGTGACCTTGAACCGTGACCTAGGGCTGTGTCCTAGAGCCGTGACCAAGATCCGTGACATATATCCGTGACAGAGCCGTGACCCTGAGTCGTGACAGCCATGACCTAGAGCCGTGACTTTGCATCGTGACCTATAGCCGTTATTTAAGAGCCGTGACCTAGAACCGTGAGAGAGCCGTGACCTTTAGCCGTGACCTAGAGCCCTGAACTAGAACCGTGACCTAGAGCCGTGACCTAGAACCGTGAACTAGAACCGTAAAACTAGTCCCGTGACCTAGAGCCGTGAACTAGAACCGGAAACCTAGTCCCGTGACCTAGAGCCGTGAACTAGAACCGGAAACCTAGTCCCGTGACCTAGAGCCGTGACTTTGCATCGTGTCCTATAGCTGTTATTTAAGAGCCGTGACCTAGAACCGTGACAGAGCCGTGACCTTTAGCCGTGACCTAGAGCCGTGCCGTGACCTAGTCCCGTAACCTAGAACCGTGACCTTGAGCCAGGACCTACATCTGTGACCTAGAGCCGTGAACCTAGTCCCGTGAACTAGAACCGTGACCCGAAGGAAATATACAATTCAGGATCAGTTAAAAGGTTGAGTAAATTCTCACAATTGAAAACAATAGGATTTTCCTCCCCATGTTGTGTGGTGGTTGTCCTTCAGCACTCTCCCCAACCTTCTACCACCACCATTCCCACCACAATCCTCACCCTCTACCACCACCACCACAATCCTAACCCTCAACCAGCTGTAGGTTGATTTTGATTTTGCCGCTTGCAGCGGCTACTTTATTGTGCACCCCACACTCATCCTGTGAGCGGTAGCGCAAAAGGATTACAGAGTAGGGTTTACAAAGGGTCATAATAATTAACCCCGGTTGTCAGGATATTATGGCACCGAAAGTTACACAGTATTTCATTTACATTATTTGTTCAGTTCTATACATAAAGGGTAACTTATTCACAAATGCGTGAGAACAGGCGTGTGAGGCAGTATGTCTGGCCTCACACTTTGTTATTCACATTTACGTGGGAGGTATTCAAGCACATTGCGTATTTGGTTCTGTACATGAGAACTGATATAGTTACTGAGTGCAAAAAAGTGGATACAATCTTAATATGTCGGCTATCTTGCCATTAGAGATGAAGTGTTGTGCCATTTCACACACAGTGTGCTTGGACCTGTCCCTAAAAGGTTCTATCTTCACACAGTCGAGGACGTAGTGTTCAAGTGTGTGGCCATATGTATGGCCACACACTTTACATTTAGTTTTGTTTACATCTGCTTGAGGAACATACTGCCAGAGGTACTTATATCCTAACCTTAATCTAGCGGTTACAACATCTTGTAATCTAGTGATCTTGTTACTTGCTCCATATACATGTTTCACTTGATACATCTCATCATGGTAAACTATGGATCGACTAGTGCCTGTTTGCACTTGTCTACTTGCGTCAAACTCATCAATAAGTTCTTTCCTAATTACAGTTTTAAGGGTTCTTTTTGACAGACCCAAATTGTATTCAACGGTGTCTTTGTTAGACGCGAGTTTGGCGAGGGCATCAACTCTGTCATGTTTTATGAGGCCTATGTGAGAGGGGATCCACAACAGTTTGACCCTGACACCCCGGTCAACAAGGCACGCATATTTGTGTCTGGCTTCAGAGACAAGATCGTGACAACCTGAGTCGAGGGTACCAAGGGCAAGTAGTGAGGATAGAGAGTCAGTGATGATGAGACTGTCAGTAACAGTGGTTTCAATGAATTTAATAGCTGTGAGTATGGCAACTAATTCAGTTTGTAGAGTGGATGCCCAGTTGTTAATTCTAACTCCTTTCTCAATTATATTACCGTCAGGTTGAGTCACAACAATAGCACTTCAGCCCTCCCACAGGCGGTGTTTAGAGATCCATCAGTGTAGATGGTCTGTGTGATATTATCATCAGTCTGTAGAGTGTGTATGTGTTCAAGGGCTCTCAATTTGGCAGTGTGTTGGAGATAAATGCTTTGTATAATTAATTTTTTAGGCGGATACGTCGGTATTGTGATATCGAAGGGAACTGTCCGCCAGGGTGGCAGGAAGCGCTGTTGTGTCTCAACTTTGTACAGGTGGTCTAGTCCAAATATCTTCATATGTGTAGCTGTAGTTTGGATCCATTTAGACTCAGTAGTCCCATGGTTCATACATTCTAGCAATTTTAAGGAAACAATGTTATCAGGATCACCACGCAGAAGCCTCAGGGCTATCATGAGGTTGACTTCAATTATTCTATCTTTAACACTGGGTATACCTAGTTCTTTCCTCATATTAAGTACTTTAGTGCTCATGGGACATCCTAGGATAATTCTGAGGGCTTTATTTTGCATTTTCTCGAGCTTGTCAACGCCTTTCCGTCACGAATGACCAGGGCTGGTGCGTGGTAATCTATCAGAGATCTTATATAGCCTAGGTACATTGTTTTAACAATTCTAATATTAGCACCATAGTGCGGGCTGTACCCCGCTACACTTCTAAGAGGTCTCAGTCTGTCAGTACATTGGCGGGTTAGCTGTTGTATGGCAGGTAGGGTACAAGGGACGGAAACACCAAGATATTTAAAAGAAGAAACATAGTCAATAGTGTTGTTGGGTGGTATTAGGTTTACTAAAGTAATGTGGGTAAAGCAGATGGAAATCTTTAGATTGTGTTGTGGAAGGGAAGCACTGTAGGAGAACACATCTTATGCACAAGTTATTAATGAATGATCAGCAGCAAATAATGGGAGGGTATCTGTTTCTCTTGAGCCTGAAACACTTTCTTTTTAGTATACGCTGTATGTAACATTAAGAGAAAATAAATATATAGTATAAGGGATGAAAAATAATAGACTTTTTTATATTTTTCAAATTTTATTTTCAGTATATCTTCAATGATACCGGCTTCAATAAACCTTTTTTCAGTACATACTTAAAGACCAGTATGTTTTCACTATATTTGCTGGGATTTATATTTTGGAGCCCCTGGAGACACCAATGTGCCCAAAGAAACCACGATGAGAGTATTTACCAGGTAAGTTATTTATTGCAATTCATATTAGATTATTTTTTTGATATTTTTTGTATGTGATATGGAAATAAATTTCTTTTAGGGTAATTGTGTTGCTCTTTTTTCTGTGTTAACTAGACTTGAGTCATGCTATACATACTGTAGAATATTTACTGATTACAAAAGGCATTGGTTATTCCTTTTATTTCCAAGGCCTCCAGACCACCATTTTATTTCATAACTTTGCCTTCTCTTTCCCCCTTATCCCCTTCACTTCCTCTTGTGCTGAATAGAATCATCTGGCATTAGCCAAATGAAATATTTAAGAGACAATGAAGGGGTTAATACAGTAAAACCTTTATCGTTTATCAATCAATACTTTACAAATTGGCTAGTTCATACATGCAGTTCAATGTGTGTTATGTTCACCAAAAATTAAATATTTTACACTTCCATCAATATTGCAAAATATAAAATTAAAAATATAAGAAAATGTGTTCAACAAAAAACAATAGCAAAGCAAGTAGTGATGTACAGTATGTTCATTGTACAGCCCATTCTTCCTGCATCACCTGAAGAGGCACTGGGAGGGAGTGTATATTAATATGAAGTGAAAAATGTATTGTCAAAGCACTTGGTCAGTAATGTGTCCAAATTTAAGCTTTCTAGCTCAAAAATTTCCATAAATAACATCCAGACAACATTAAGTGTTGAGTTGAGTATGCTTCTAATATTCTCTTGCTATTACAGGAAGTGGATTCAATGGAGGATGAAGATTTACCGCTGTCAGACGTTTGGTATGTTGAATTGTACTTGCCATTTGTAGTTGTGATGTAATAAAGTATTATGTTGATGTAATTGTGAATGGGTGCTTGTAGTACTTAATTGTATTATTAACTCCTTCACTTCAGTGTTCAAATTATGCAAAGTATAAATAGATTTTGCGCCTTAATCCTTACAATAATTTTGTGTCATTTATATTAAGGTGATACAGCAATTATTAAAGCATAATATTTCATAGCTAAATAGAGTAATTTCTTATTGCTGGCTTTGTTCCAACAATTTCAGAAAGAGACTCAATTATAGCCTCAAATCTGGTGTAAAAGCATGTTGTTGATAAGCCTCCAAACTCCTCATTGCTCATGTCCCTCATTGTTATCTCTACCATTAGCATTGGGGAGTTCTGATGGTCAGTCGTCATTGTTATTGTCACTGCTGTCGATACCTTTCTTTTCTATATCTCTAAATTAGGTGTAAATTAATGTAAAAATAACAGTAAATTTATTGTGTGGCAGTTGTGGTAAGACTGGTGGAGGAGTGTGGTGTTTTTTTTATGAGGGAAAGACAATTGTTTGAAGACCGGGTTGGGCAAAGTGTTTTATAACCATTTTCCACGCTTGTGTGGATTAGCCATGATTATCTGATGGCAACTTTCCATTCTACAGTCTTTTGCATTCCCTCTTGTCAGGTTCTTAACTCTTAATGTCATTTCTTACAACCTCTCCCCATGTCATTCTTGGCTCTTCTCCCCCCACATTTAGACTCATACACCTCTTGACCTAATTAGTGTGATTCATTCTCCAAAATTCCAAACCATCTCAGCATACTGCTACACAGAATTTTGCCAATAGAACTCAATACCAGCCACCCTCTTACCTCTGAAAAGGATTTTTTGTCTTTCAGTGCCACATTGCATATCCACCTCACTAGTCTCATTTAACTTGATGGATAAATGTATTGCAACTGCATAGGTTGTAGTAGAGTGGTGTGGTCCAAAATTGTTTGGGTACACCTGTTTAAAATTTGCATGACAGGAGAAATTATGTATTAATGAATATATGTAGCACATAGTGAAAAGTGTTCACTTACTTAAAAATTTCTTCTATACAAAAGTCTATTCAGTATACAGACTGCATATAGTGAGGAATATCTATACTTAAACACTTGTCAAAAGGTTACTTTTAACAAGTTTTATGAACAATCTGAAACCCAGAGAATACATTAATTCTTTAGAAGTTGCTATTTTGCATGACCTGGCATTTTCTGAGAACGCAGCTACTGCACTGTGTGGAGTTTTACTGTGCTCAGAAACCTTCACCTAAGTCATTGATGAGGACCTCAGATGACTACGTACCTGAGGCTGATTACCCCCATTTTGTTATTTATTTTTTTCCCAAGTTTTTATCCATTTTATTATTATTATTTTTTACAGGGATTAGCCCACCCGGGCACAGGTCACTGACCCACATCGGGGCCTGGGGGCGAAAATGTCAGGAAATCTTAATCAAATTTATGGAAAATATTTTTTACTGTTTTACCAATAATTATCAGGGTTTATACTGATTATTGTAATGTATATTATAGAAGTATTTATTTTTATTACTCTTCTTATTAATATGAAGCTCTTGCTGACGAGAGACAGGCGCACCCCTCCACCTGTGCCCATCTTCACTTTGGACCAGCTGGCATCTAGTGTTGCGAGAGACAGTGATGCGAATGCTCAACTGACACATTTGGTCCTGTGGCACTATTTACCCATTCAACAAGCTAGAACGATTTATAACAACAATGATGAAAAGGTGTCTCTAAATTATTTTTGCCAGTCATATGTACAGGAGTTGTTAGCATTCAAAGATATGAAGTTAAGAATGCATTATAGGAAGAAAATTTTGTTGAAGAATTGGAAAATAAATTGGCATTCAACTCAAAAATTAAAACAAATATTTATTGGGGTTTATGATGATGGAAATATGAAAAATGAGGGAGTGAATTTAGAACTTAAATGAGAATAAATTGTGTGTGAAATGTAAAATCTACTTTTGGGGGAGGATTAGTAGTTGTGTGTGTGATCTGTTGTATCAGGTCATTAGGGTAAAGTACAATGATGAAATTTTTAATAAAATTTTTAGTTATAGATTTTGTTGAAAATAATAATGTGTGAAAGAAATTCACCATTGTTGTAATGTTCTGTGAGAGGGAAGTTGTACTGAAGATAGAATTATATATGTTGAATGTGTGTTTAACAGTTTTGATAATAAGAAAGTATAAGTTAAAGGTATATTACTGTAAGGAATGACATTTTTAGGATATCTAATGAAGGGGAAATTCGGAACTGAAAAGGTCCGCTCCAGTCTATTATATTGTTGTGTGTACTTTACATAAAATGGATAAAAACTTTGATTTTTTCTTTTTGTTTGAGATGGTTTTGTCATAAAAATTTACATTTGAGAGAGATCTGTATAACAGTATTCTCAACCTCTTGGTGTTTGGCATAACATGAACAGTGGAGATTATTGTTAATCCACTTGAATTACGATACCTGTAGTATT